GGACACCCATAATCCCGCGTGCGCATAAGACCTTTACGGCTGCAAATATGTATGTGCGCATGCGCGTTTAATGTATAACTGATGGTATAAGCTAAGCTAAAATTATCTAATTCAGTTAATGTTGCAGATTGCGTTGTTCCTTAATCTTTGAATTGGATCCGGCTTATTATTTTTTGCAGACTGTTAGAGCAATTTTATAAAGTAAGCTTGAACTTTCAATTATGTCAAATAGAATTTCCGATATATATTTACTAATATGTAAAGGATTTATAAAGCGAAAGTATGTTTTGAAATCCGAAATCTGTTTATCAATTTCATGCTGCTCTGCGGCGGGGGGAGGGGGGGGGATGACGTGGCGCGTAATGAATTCAAAGTTCATCTTTCAGCACTATCCTTATCTTCACAGCAGATGTTTTTATTTTATTTGGCTTAAAATTCCTTACTAAATGTAGTATTTCATGTCATGTACTCCGTCTTTGATATGATTTAAAGCAATTATAGGACTTGAACCGGAACTTTGTAACTAAACAAAAATATGTGGAAGTAACTCATGGAAATAATTTAAATTTTACACTAAGTATTGCAACCATTTTTATTGTTGTCTTATAAATTCGTTGTGACGTTTATATAGATAATTAGAGGTAAAGTTTTGGATATTTTATTTATTTTATACGTGGAAATGTTCAGCATTGGAAAGGGTATATTTTTTCGCGATCAGGTAATTTCATATATGTGCTTTTACCGAGTTTGAAGATTCACAAAATTTCCTGCATTTTCATGCAAGATTTTGTAATTTATGAGAAATAGCGTGTAGATGGATAAAGTCAGAGTGTGGCATGCATTTTTTTTGCATTCTGGAATGTTTTTTAAGTAAAAAATAAGTCGACGTGTACCTGGTTACTGTGTAGTGCAATTCTGAAAAACGCGGCAAGGAGTTGTGATTTTGCTTTTTCCCAATTTTGCAGTTAATATTTGTCATGATTAAGCAGTTTTGTTCCATAAAATTTCTAGCATAAGTGTAATTCAGCTAGCAGATTGTTGGAAAAAGTGTTGAGTAAATAAAAAGAAAAGAAACATGTCTTTGGCGGCGAAAAAAAAAATAGAGGGTTGCTGTAGCAGAGTTGGTCGCCAAATTTTCACCAAGTTACCATAATCCAAAGATTAACCGAAAGTATTATCACATGAAACGAAGCAACTTAAACAACTTACATTGAAAGAAATGTTTAATAAAGTAAATAATATTAAGCTTTTTTTTGTAAATTTTGATACCCTTTAGATCATATTTCTTTATTTCATAAATTACGGTTTCATATTTTAATTTGTAATTTCTGCTTCATCTTACAGATTTTAAACTGATGATCTATAATCCGGAAAAATCGATAATTTGGAATCGCCGAAGTCCCGACGAGTCCGGATTAACGACTTTTGACTGTACTTGTATTCAGTCCTAGTGCAGGGTCAGTAAACTCCCCGTCCCTTCATGAACATAATACTGAATCCTAAACAACTTGTAAATTAATCATAAACAAATTGTTACATCATAAACTGTTATAATGTAAAGAAATGCTATAATCTGTCGCAGTAGAGAAGAAGCCTGGTGCTGCCATCTATTGGCAAGATACCTCAGTAGGGACGCTGGTATAAATTATATACCGGTATTAAAAACGCATACATAATCTTCTTTTAATTATCGGTTTTGATTGAAATGCAGTAAATATAAAAGGTTCAGCATGTGTACGTCATATATTTACAGATTTTGAATTTTTTTTCTTTCCCTTCAATACAATTTATCAATCTTCAAACATGATACCTTGGAACGAGGTATATTAATTTCATAACTGCAAAATGTTGAGCATTCATAGGGTGGTGCTGCCATTTAGAATCGAAAGGAAACATTACAAACTTACGATTATAGCTTTTGGTGTAGAGAAATTATAACTTTTTTCTGAGGTCAAAAAATTGACAAACGGGTATACATTATATACCAGTGCCCTTCAAAGGGTTAATGCTCATGCCATTCAAGATATATTGATTAGAATAGAAAGTAAAGAAATTAAGGATGAAATGAGCAAAATTTGTAATTTATTATTAAAAGTAAGGTGTTTTATTTAATACATTAATTGCATATGTTTTTATTTGTAACATGCAAAAAGTAGAAAAGTGTTTTGTGGTGAATCTTCGGATTATGGTAACTTGGCGATTTTTTGGCAACCAACCCTGCTACAGCAACCTGCTAGTTCTCTCTTTTTTTTTTTTGACGCCATTTTGTTTTTCAGGAGAAAGGCATTTTTTTTTTTTTTTACTCAGCATTTTTCCAACAATCTGCTAGCCGAATTACAGTTATGCTACAACTTTTATGGAACAAAAGTGGGCTGATCTTTGGAATATAGTAACTGGTAGTTTGGCGACATTTTGGAGGCGATAAAGGTTACTTACTACCTAGGACTTTGGTAATAATGTGAGAAGCACTCAGTTCCGATTACGCATTATTTTGTGTAAGGGAAATGAGAGGAGATCATGAGATATGTCATGTGACATTAATGGACGAATTACAGTTGTTTAATCGGAAAAGGGAGGAAATCTGGAAATTTCGTATTTAGCTATATTCTGTGTTATGTGAAACCTGACATTAATGGACAAATTATAGTTCCTTTAATCGGAAAAGGGGGTTAATTTGGAAAAGCTTGATTGTGTGTTGTGTGAAATAGTGTTGATTAATTTTCGGATTGCATGGCGCTATGTAAAGCGAATTCTAAATTTTTAATGCGTTTTATCTGATAATATAATAAGTTGAGATTGTGTGAAAGGAAGGATATTACAGTTTAATGGTGGTGCGAGAATATGGTGAAAATGGACATTTTGTGAAAAGGAGTGTAAGGAAGGGTACTGTGTTTGCTGAAAGTAGTTTGAGTATAGTGAAATTTTATTAATTTCTTATTACTTGGTGAATAGACTTCCAGTTGCTACTGATTTAGGATTTAGGATTTAGAAATTAGCAGTAGTACTGCAGCGACATAATGAAGATTAGGTAAGTTTAGTATTTTTAATCATTTGAGATATTATTTTTATGGCATTGTTCTAAATGTAAGGAGTAATAAATTAAATGGTATTATTTTGAAAATTGTTATTAGCAATGATTTAGTTTAAAGTATTAGGATTGTAATTTAATTTTTATTAATTTATGTATGTGCTATTTATATTTTAAGTATGTTTTTAATTTAATTATATTTTAATTTAATGATTGTGATTTTGTGAGTTATATGTTTGTAGTATTTTTGGAATATGATTAGTATACGTTGAGTATTTTCATGCATTTTGCGTGAAATTTTTTCTAATTTATCAGAAAAAAGCAGTGTACATGGATATAGTGTGCGCAATGCCATTTTTGTGCAATTCTGGGATTTTTTTTACGTAAAAATAAGTCAACGTGTACATGGTTTAGTGACATTTTAATTAAATGATAGTTATTTTGTGAATTTTATGTTTGTAGGAATTTGGTATACGTTTTAGTTGAAGTAAATGTGCATGGAAATAATTTAAATATTTGACACTAAGTATTTGTAATGTTTGCGGTATGAACTCGTTGGTGACGTTTATAATATAGATAATTAGAGGTAAAGTTTTTAGATATTTTATTTATTTTATACGTGGAAATGTTCATATTTGGAAAGGGTATATACTTTTTCACATAAGGTATTTCATATGTTCTTTTACGTTTTAAAGATTCAGAAAATTGTCATGCATTTTAAATGCCATAAAATTTTGTGAATCTTTGAAGTCGATAGAAAGGACATATGAAATTACCTGATCGCTAAAAAGTATGTATACTATGCAAGCTTTTATATGTTTAGCTTGTATATATCCTTTCCAAGGATGAACATTTGCACGTATAAAATAAATAAAATATGCAAGAACGTTTCCCTCTAAATTATCCATTACGAAAGTCACCTGCGAGTTTATAAGGCAAACATTAAAAATGGTTGCAATACTTAGTGTCAATATTTAACTTATTTCCATCAGGTTTACTTCTACTGAAATGTATTCCAAAATGCTACAAACGCATAATGCACAAAATCACATCATTTAGTTGAAAATATTAAAATATAAATAAACACATACATTAAATTAATAAATTAGCTTAAAATCTTAGTTACTTTAAACTAATTTATTGCTAATAAAAATTTGGTACTTTTCCGTTTTGCCGGCGCAAGCGATAAAGTCGCCAATAATGGTACAACCGATGCCAAACGGAATATCCTCTTTGGTAACCTTTTACGCCTCATTTTCAAAACTAGTTGCAGCCTTTTCTTATCAGAGTGATTGTTTCTTTCAATACTGGCGTATAATTACATAGAATTTTTATCAGATAGTTCAGTTTTATGTCTAACACCATTTTCGGTAATTAAGTCAATTAGGATGCAATCACAGCGCTTACCCAAAGCCGAAAATATAGAAAAGGTAAAGTCAAGGGTTAAATTCATCAATTCTAATGAGAATGCACTAGCGAAGTAAAGCACTGCAGTTTTACATAATTTCTGAGTAAGCTATTCTTACGAATTGAAATATTTCTTGCATTTAACTTTGTGTTCCAATTAAGATTTAACTTGAAATAATGTAGATAATTACTGAGAGCATTAGATTTTTGTAGAGTAGTTTACGTGAGATGACTTGGGGTCACGTGATATGAACCGGCGAATCAGGATTTGAACCATAGTAATTCTTAAATTAATGTCTTTTTACAAATTTATTAGCTTTATTTATTGGCTTTTTATAAAATTTAACGATATTAAAATGTTTATGCCTTCAAAATAAAAATTCTTAGAACAAACATTTTTAAATTTTTTATGTGTACTGTATGTTGTCGCCAATAAAGTCTGCTTGGCGAGATTTGCGCCGGCCAAAACGGAAAGTACCAAAATTTTCTAAATAGCAATACTTTATTTCTTATATTTAAACATGCCTAAAATAATCTCTTCAAATGATTAAAAATACTAACTTACCTAATCTTCTTCAGAATCTTGAGTGTATGGCGGATAAACTTTTTTTATGGATTCAACAAAATCACTGAATGATTTTTTCTGCGAATTTTTCCGCCATACATGCTCTGCTAAATAAAAAGCAAAATTCTGCTTGTCATAATTCTTAAAAATAGCACCCCATGTGCCCTCAATCGTATTCTTATGTGCGCCTGTTTGAGGATCTTTGAAATGATACTTATGGTTAATAGCAAGATACTGAAAACCTTCATCCTCCAAACAGGCATATGATTTCCAGCAATCAGATATTATTATTGTACCAGGTAAAATATACTGCTTAATGAAACTTAATAAGCATTCTTTACTTCTATCTGGCACAACCTTGAAAAAATACTTATTACTTTCCCTTTCAATCCCACCAAACACCCATTTTCCTTCCACTCTCCTACCTCTCTGATACTTGCGTTTGCCAAACTTACTTCCAATAATTTCAACAATGACATCCGTACCACCAAGCATACTCATTCTTCTCGCAAATTCCACGCACACTTCTCACAAAAACAATTCCAATCGCTGCAGTACTACTGCTAATTTCTAATCGGAATCCAGTAGTCAACTGCAATCGATTCACCCAGTAGTAAGAAATTAATAAAATATGACCCACTCAAACGACTTCAGCAAACCAGGTACCTTCCTTACACTCCGTTTCACAAAATGTCCATTGTCACCAATTTTTGCACCGCCATTCAAACGATCTGTATATCCTTCCTTTCACACAATCTCATTTCATTCCCACATGTTGGACATTCAACTTATCGCAATTAATCTACACTCATACACCTCAAAGCAACTCTTTTGGATGATCATATAATACAATAAATTTGGAATTGGCCATGGGATCCAAATATTAAGCAACACTGTTTCACACAAGATACAAGATGGAATGAAGCTGAACATACAAAATGGTATGTTCGTAGTTCTCGTGGAGACAGGCTACGAAAACTTCAGGAACACCTAGTTGTTCAATTAGCAAAATTTTTATACTTCAATTACAAATATTTATTTAATTATTAGAGACTACCTATTTAGATTTCTCTCTTGTTTCTAACAGAACATGAGAAGACAGAATTTCAAAATTTTACCTTTCTCCTACAAAATATATCCAGCAGCAATATTATGTACACGGTAAATTATTTGAAAAATATATACTAATAGGCTCAGGAATGAATATCAGTAATACCATGCTGATTAAGAAATAGAAAAATAAATTATATTACGATTAAATAGAAAGAAGGGCACATTTTGAAGTTTGCACTATTTGAAATCTTTTGCCTGCTGAGAATTCCAGTCTTCAGATCTTGCGCTACTACCACGGAAGCATATTCCTAAAACGTACTCGCTGTAAGCCCTATTGGTAGAATTCGCTCACTGTATCATGGTTATAAACAATTTATTATACTTATTATCAGTAACGCCTAAGCTTAAATTATAAATTATTAAAAGTCAGAATTTGATATTAATTTACATATAACAATTTATATTGTTTTTTAGAAAAATGAAAGTGATATAGTGTATGCGACTACATTGGACGTCTTAGCGAGTCTCACCATACCTCCTATATACGAGGGCCATCCAGGAAGTAGATTACGTTTCCGTCTGTGTCCGCTAGGGGCGGGGCTAGCGCGGCCATCTTGGGGTCAGAGCGTTGCGCAGCTCAGTCTGCATCTAGCCGTGCTAGTGAGAGGTTCGTGCTGTGCTCCGTTCAGATACTGTGACGGTTTGAAATGTCTGCGTTAATTGAAAATCCCGCGAGCTGCGAGGTGCGCTCAGTAATAAGGTTTCTGACTGCAAAAAACTGTAAACCGATAGAAATCTATCGGCAGCTTCGTGAAGTGTATGGGGACAACATTATCACTGAAGGTGGAGTGCGTCAGTGGGTCATAAGATTTCAAAATGGCCGAACCAATGTTCACGACGAAGATCGAAGTGGGAGACCCAGCATAGTGACCGCCGAACTTCTCGAAAAAGTCGATGCTAAAGTCCGTGAAAATCGAAATTTCACAATAACGGAACTTTCTTTGAGTTTTCCACAAATTTCGCGAAGTTTGTTGCACGAAATCATCAGCGAAAAGCTTGGTTACCACAAGTTTTGTGCAAGATGGATTCCAAAAATCTTGACAGAGGACCACAAAAATCAGCGAATGGCTGCAGCGTTGAACTTTTTGGACGCTTACCATAAGGATGGTGACTCTTTACTCGATCGCATCGTTACTGGTGACGAAACATGGGTGAAACATGTGAACTGTGAAACGAAATTGCAATCAATGCTTTGATGGACGCACACTGCAAGGTAACGAAGTGGTTGAAGGCGCAGGCGGCCGAATTTTTCGACGAAGGAATTCCAAGCTCGTACATCGCTACGATAAATGCCTTAATTGTATGGTGACGATGTAGAAAAGTAGTATTTGAGTGGGCTTTCATCTGTATATAATAAAATTTGTTTC